AGCCCTTTGACTACCGCGCCATGTGCATAATCAAAGTATATTTTAAAACCACAATTACATTGAGTCAAGTTTCTAAATTCTGCTATTTGTTAGCAATAATTTAGCCATGACTTCATGCAGCACGATGGAGATGTCATTCAGTCAGTTAATAGTGCTCATAAACGAAATTCAATCCAGATGAAAAAAGTTGTCTCGATCAAGGCAGAGAAAATTTTTCCAAGGCTTCATCATTTGTAAACCCTATCAACACCACGGTCCTCATCTCTCTAGGACCCCCAGCACATTTTTGGGGCTTTCCATTGCGAATAGTGAACTACACAATGACTATATTTCCCATAAACCCCCACAAAACACGCCACTTTAGATGGCACATGATGTCACTCAGCACTCATAGGCCTTCTGATAAACCCACGGACGGGACCAATTAAACGCACACTGTTCCTACATTGGGTCAGAAGTTTAGTGGGTCATCACAGGCTCCCCCTCTGGTTATCTAATCCAAGTCTATAAAAAGTGTCTCTGGATGCCCCCCCCCGGAATCAAACCGCATCCTGAGTTTGTTTTTCAATTCCATTTAGCACAACTGATAATGCGATGATTTGTTATTGTTGGATTAAACTGGTGACATTTAATAGCCTGTGAGATGTGAACTGGGTTTCATTCAATGCGACATTACGCTCTGGATAATTAAGGCATAGTTCACCCAAAAGTGAAAGTTACTCACCTCTAAGCTGTTCCAAATCTGTATAGCTTTATCATTTTTATTTTCCACATTAAAACAGATTTTGAAAAAGGTATTGGCCAATATTTCCCTTTAATAAAAGAGAATCAGAACAAGGCACCCTATAAACTGTTTAATAATACATTTATGTTATATTCACCTAATATGAGCAATACTTGCATATGTAAACTCACTGGCCACTTTGTTAGGTACACCTTGCTAGTATCATGGGTGTAAATCTGATTTAACAGTGGGGGGGGGGGCATTTTTGTGAAGGGGACACAAATAGTACAACCGAATTGTACTAATAAAGATATGTCACTGCAGTTAAAATGGTTTCATCATTATTATTATTATAGCATGGAGACTACGTCATTATGATTATTTTCAAAGTTTTTCTCAGGTTCAATGACAAAGTAAATCTTTCTTCGAAACTATTTATTGCATTGTTCGTTGTGTTGTTTACAGTCAGCAGACTGACTCCTGAAGCAGAAAAAATGCAGGAAAAGACGTTTTCCATACCATTAAATAACTAACTTTACATTACACTTGTTAAATTAACCGATCATATTGTAAATAGTTGAGCCTGTGAAGTTAATCTGGTAAACAGCCACAACTCAAAAACATTTATTTTTAAAAATTGTTCACCCCAAAAGAATTGTCATTATCCTTTCAATAAAAGCACAACGCCCTTAGCTGACACTGTACATCTGACTGACCCTGCTCTGCCTGTTCCTCAATCATTTCTTTCTCCTTTGCCTGTGATTGAAATTGTGACATTAATATTTTCATAAGCACTCATTCTTAAAGCCAACTTGCTTAATATGTGAACTTTTTGTCCTTGGCGTTTAGGTGCACTGAAAAATGATCTTATCTCCATTTTCTCTGTCATTTCATCCAATGCATGACACTGCAATGCAAGTTTATTTATACTGTGGCACATTTTATACACAATGCTAATTCAAAGTGCTTGACATAAAGAACGCAAAACTATCATAAAAATAATCACAACAATACAAACAAGGAAATAAAAAAGGCTAACATTTTAATTTCAAATCAATTGAGTCACTTAAGAACAGAATAGAAACTGATTGTACAAAAAATACAGTGGGGTTAGTTTAGACGTAGCACAGTGCTCATTTAGCAAATACACCGCTAAACAATATGCTAATTGTGGTCGTTAATGTTAACATTATGCCAAGTCGTCACAAATGAAACAATGCATGGGAAACATGGGAAGTTGCAGTGCACTTTGCGACAAGCTAAAGCTAACTAGAAATTTTTTATCGCTAATACAGCAGATTCATGGACAATTACATCAGTAATCAGCATTTTTGTCGCAACTAATTTATGAACGAGTCTTTATTAACTACATTTAAGAGAATCGCTTTATTTAAGGTGAATAAAATTCAATACGTACTTACCGAAATTCAACATTATCTCAGCCACAGCCGCACACCTGACGTGTTTGTGTGTAGGTGAGAAGAGCTGGGGAAAGCATGCAGTGGATTGAACCATTCTGAGGAAGGGGAGGGGAACTCAACTGTTTCTAATTACATTTTAAATAATAAATGCGGTTTTCTTTCTACTTAGATAATAATTTTAGGTATATATAACTATATTTTTCACAATTGAGAGTTTTATTTTTTATATATTTAATTTTTTGGGGGGGAGGGGGGACAATCCTCGGATGGGAGGGGACATGTCACCCCAACCCCCCTTGCCATTTACGCCCAAGACCTCTTTTTTTCATTCAGAAGATTTTAGAACTGAAACTTTTCTTATAGCATAATACTTTTTTTGTGTCATTATTTTGGGGGTCAAAATGGCATCAAGGTTGGACGTCAAGGTTTTGACATCAAACCACTTCGCAGTTTTGACGTGTTTTATGATGCTTGATGTCAATTTGATGTTTCCATAAATTCCATATACTGCCTTTAAACAAGTCTTAACTTATGCTTTTAATTAGGATTTTTTGAAAATTCTGATTACAGAAGCAAATCTTTCATTGATTTTGGATCCTTATTCTATCTTAAAAACTGTATCTAATGAAAGTGCATCACCAAGAGGTGACAGTCTAGTGCGATTTGGGAAACAGCCACTAGATGCTGCTAGTGTCACGTGGCGGCCATTTTAGAATGAACATTTCAATAGAACAGCAGCATATTATAAGTCTGTAAAATAAACTATTAAAAGTGCTAATGATTGATATAGTAAGTGTTGTATTGACATCTTTCAGGTTGTACCTCAGCTTTAATGCGCTTTTTAAAAAAATAAATAAAAAACAAAGCAGCTGATTGCCATCGCCACAGCAATAAGATCCGATGGATGGTCAATCACTTTCACTCCAAAATGGTGGAATCGCGGGGCTGTTGCTGGGCCCTGCTGTTGCAATGGAATGTTCTATTGAGTGTCGCCTCTTGGTGATTCTAAGCTCTTTGATCTAATCAAGTAAATATTATATTGTATCAAGTTCAACAATCCACTCTCACGTCTGTTACCAAGCAACAAACCCTGCTTGAGCTGCTAATGAGTTAGACATAAGCTGTGTCCCAAATCGTATACTTATGCACTATTCTACGCCATTTTGTAGTATAAATAGTGCAAGTAGTGTGTTCACACTAAAAACCTTAAAAATAATAAGTGTACTTTAATTACCCGGATGATGCACTCAATCAGCTGCTAAAATGAAGTGTGTAATGATGGACACTTCACGCACTCAACGACCGCAGGCTTGCTTACATAGCGGAAGGGGCGGAGCTATCAGGCGCATATGTTGGATAACTTTATTTATTTTGGATGGTAAAAGCAAAATTCTCCTACAAGAGTGATTATAGCGCCTCCCGATGGTGAATGCGGCAATTCTCACGGCAGGTATTATTTAATATTTCGGTCGTTTATTTCACTGATTTGGCGACCGTCAAACGTCATCAGGGAAACGGATTGAATTTCCGCTTGGTAAAAAAACATTAGTGTGCCATCTGGGTTGCCACTACATACATGTAGGCTGCGTCCGAAACCGCCTACTACTCAGTAGGTACTGCATTTGAATTTAAACGTACGACTCGGCCGTTAGAAATGTACATTCTATACAGTATGAATGTGAAAAGTATGAATGGAATTCGGTCATACTACATCCGCCATTTTGTCATGGTCACGTGACCTACCTGCGTCAGTTGCATCGCCTCACTTGTATTCATAAATTCTCTCATGGGGCATTATGGGGTAGCGCAGCGTGCATGGGATGCGCACTTTAGAATCTCGCCGGAAGTAGTAAGTCATCCGGGTACTTCTCGCATACTGATTTTCGAATTCTATGAATTTGGACATACTACTCGGCTCGCATACTGGTTTTAGCATACTATATAGTATGGAAGTATGCGGTTTCGGACGCAGCCTTACTATCCTGTTGAGTGTGTAAGTGCATAATATAGTGCATGAGTGCATAGTGTATAGTGTGCCATTTGGGACGCAGCGAAAATAAACTTGTTAAACAAAACTGGTTATGTTCCGAAATGCTTTGTTGTTCTCTGTATTGCTAGTTACAGTTCCTAACTGTAATATAATGTTGGATGGCAGTCTGTAATTACTTTTAAGTGTTTTGTTGTTGAAATGTAACATTTTCAGGGTTATCCAAAAGTCCTTGTACCATTACCATGTTCACTTCTAATTTTCAATCATCAGTAAATGTATGCCATTGTTTGACATAAATAAACAGGGGGACGAATAATTCTGACTTCAACTGTACTGTGAAAATTTCCTTGCTCTATTAAACGTAGTTTGGGAAATATTTAAAAAAGAAAGAAAAAATCAAAGGGGGCTAATAATTCTGACTTTTTCTATTTAAATCATAATTGCTTCAAATAATAGGAAGAAGACCCTGCTGAAAAAATCCAGCTTAAACCAAGCCTGAGCTGGTTGGCTGGTTTTAGCTGGTTGACCAGCCTGGAAGTGGCCAAAAGCCCTCAAAAACAAGCTTGGTCAACCAGCTTAAACCAGCTAACCAGCCTAGGCTGGTTTAGGTTGGATTTTTCAGCAGGGCGAAGAAAAAGAAAAAAAAAAGAAATGTTTTTCTTTTCCATAGAAAATAAATTCATCTGTTCATTCATTCATCAAAGTGTATTTTTTGGAATTTTTACTTGGCAGTTGAGTGAATTGTTGCAGATTAATGTTTTGTTAATGACATTTTTTGTGATAGTTCTGAGTATAGTTGTTATTGTGTGTATATGTATGTATGTATGTATGTATGTATGTATGTATGTATGTATGTATGTATGTATGTATGTGTGTGTATGTCTAGTGTAAAGTTTATTTTATTAAGTGCCCAAATAGTTCAACCAATATGAAAATTCAGCAATTGTTTATTCACCTTTTACCTTTTCAAAAACTTTTTGCATCGCTTTCTTCTGTTTAACACAAAATAAGATATTTTGAAAAATGCTGGTAGCTGCATCTATTTACTTATCTGCATCTTATTTAATTGTTTTCCTACTACCGAAGATGATGGGTGCCAGCAACCAGTATTATTCAATATCTTCTATAGACAATAGAAAAAATTAACTCAAAGGTTTCAAACTGATGATGTAGAGTAAACGATGAGGTATTTTTTTTCTATCTCGGGTTAGCTGTCCCTTTAAGATTGAAAAATTAGGCTGCGCTGATTTTACCATAGACATATTATCTTTGAGTATAGCGCCCTCTAGTGTAAAGATAAGCTTATTACAGAATTGGACAGACTGCCGCTGTCAGATTGTTTTTCTCAATAACCCCTGCTGCAGCGTTTCGCAAAAATACTCATTTGAATGCAGTCTGGTATGTTACATACTTAAAGATGCATATTAAATAACGCATTCTTGGCCATAGGCATCACGACAGCACGTTCACTCTCTGTTCATATGGACAAAGGGCTGAATGTGGACGGTATTTTTAGAGCAGAGTCACACGGAGGCGGAGCGCGGATGCTTCACGGCCAAAGATGCGAATGTCAAACAGCAGGTGGAGACTGACTGCTGAAGGAAAGAAACCAGACGAGAGCCGACACATACTATTAAACCTATTCGATGGAGAAGAGAGGAAAATAACAGTGATGCGCTCTGAATGAGTGGGCCGGGAGAGCGGTAAGAATCTTTTCTTTAAGGTCGTGATATTTTGGCGATGTCGTGCGCTGTTTTTGTGGGCAAGTGATTTCTAGCGCATTCGTGTAATCAGATATTATTGCGCTGCTGGGTGTGAGGAGAACCGCATAGACTACTGTATGTGGTATCAAAACATCTGCTCTGGAAAATAATTTGAGAAGTGAGAGGCTGTTTTGTGTAATTCTGTTTTAGATGACACTTGCTAATGCAGCATGTCTGTTAAACAGCGTTTGTTTACTGTACAAACATCTGCCTTTTTGGGGCCTATAGACCTATTTTGGTAATCAAAGCTTACGATAGATGGGATACATATGCTAAATGTCACTAAAGTCATGGAAATATGGCATGTTTTGGACATTAAAATAACAAAATTGTACGTTTGATAGATAGATAGATAGATAGATAGATAGATAGATAGATAGATAGATAGATAGATAGATAGATACATACATACATACATACATACATACACATGTGTATTTCTGTTTTAGATGACTTTGCTTATGCAGCATGTCTGTTGAAACAGCGTTTGTTTACTGTACAAACAACATCTGCTTTTTTGGGGCCTATAGACCTATTTTGGTAATCAAAACTTACGATAGATGGGATACATATGCTAAATGTCACTAAAGTCATGGAAATATGGCATGTTTTGGACATTAAAATAACAAAATTGTACGTTTGATAGATAGATAGATAGATAGATAGATAGATAGATAGATAGATAGATAGATAGATAGATAGATAGATAGATAGATAGATACATACATACATACATACATACACATGTGTATTTCTGTTTTAGATGACTCTGCTTATGCAGCATGTCTGTTGAAACAGCGTTTGTTTACTGTACAAACAACATCTGCTTTTTTGGGGCCTATAGACCAATTTTGATCATCAAAGCTTGCGATAGATGGGATACATATGCTAAATGTCACTAAAGTCATGGAAATATGGCATATTTTTGACATTTAAATAACAAACTTGTACGTTAGATAGACAGACAGACAGACAGACAGACAGACAGACAGACAGACAGACAGACAGACAGATAGATAGATAGATAGATAGATAGATAGATAGATAGATAGATAGATAGATACATGCATACATAGATAGATAGATAGATAGATAGATAGATAGATAGATAAACAGACAGACAGACAGATAGACAGATAGATTGATAGACAGACAGATAGATAGATAGATAGATAGATAGATAGATAGATAGATAGATAGATAGATAGATAGATACATAGATACATAGATAGATACATAGATAGATACATGCATAGATAGATAGATAGATAGATAGATAGATAGATAGATAGATAGATAGATAGATAGATAGATAGATAGATAGATAGATAGATAGATACATGCATAGATATATAGATAGATAGATAGATAGATAGATAGATAGATAGATAGATAGATAGATAGATAGATAGATAGATAGATAGATAGATAGATAGATAGATAGATAGATAGATTTGCTGTACAAACAACGTATTTTATTGACCTATATAAAACTATATTGTTTTTAAGGCATCCAGTCTATTCATTTCACAAACCCAACTGAATTTAAATAACCAATAGGAAATGATAGGTAAGAATGCATCATTTTAATAATAAAATATGACCTAGAAGTTTGGCAATTGTGTTTATGAGCAGATAGATAGATAGCATGACACATATTGAGGTTTTACATACATGCATGATTGCATCTGAATCACAAACTCTAAAAATAGCAACTCTTTGAGTTCTTTTATATTGCCCAGCATGCATGTGTAACCTAATTACCCCGAAGCGGGAAGCGTCATCAAATGCAGAAGCAAAGCGTAAAAAATATGCATGCATGTGCAAGCTTTGTGGCGTCCCTCAACCTTAGATAGCACTCTTAAGCCTTGATCTCTACACAGAACATAATAATCCCTGTGATTCCATGATAGAAAATCTGCTTGTGGGTTATCCATCACCATCATTGAAACACTGCAGTATTCACTCTTTTTCTGCTTTATATTGTACAGTGAACCATGGTGGACCCATTGGAACCCGATGACCAGAGTAAATTCAGGGGGGCCCAGTTTGAAAGCCCAGCTGCTGCCTCTGAAGCACCATGTCTACCTGAGCCAGGTGATGATAAAGATGTTAGTGTGGATTCCAGCCCACAGACATCACCGGGTACTGACCCTGTACAAAGCTCTCAAGAACCATGCCAGCAGCAAAACAGTCAATCAGAAGAGGTAAAACTGCATCTGGACCTTTACAATTTTGATTCGCCAGTTGCAGAAGGTAGTCGGTATGTACTGACAAGCCCTCGCTCTCTCGAGGCATGTGCACGATGTGGAGTGAAACCTGTGGAACTTCTGCCACGTCCACTGTCTGATTTTGCACGAGAAGCACCTGGCCGCAGCATGCGTGTCGCAACAGGAATGTTTGAGATATATGAGCGGGATAGACATGCTAAACTCCGTCACTGTAGAGAAGAGAGAGAGCGGATTATCAGAGAGGAGAAAAGGCGATTTCTGCAAGCAGCTCTCAACAATAATAGTGGTACACTGGCTTCAGAGAAGTCTGAGGACACTGTAAATGCTGCTTTGTCTCAACAAACCAATCATAGTGTAACAAATCCAGCCCCCAAAATGGCTCCACCTTGTAGCACCGCATCCAAAAAACAATCAACATCAACTGCTCCTAAAAGCGTGATAGCAGGATCCGGACAAGTGACTTCAGTATCCATATCAAGTTCTCCTCCGGCCTCAAAATCTAGTCCAGTGAACTCTGCTGCTCCTTCCAAAGTAACCTCTGCAAAAAAGTCCAAGTCACTTGAAGTAGAATCTGGGAGAAAACCTTCAGTAATCCAACGATCAATTCAGTCAGTTCCTGGAGGACAGGGTCAAAAAAAACCTACCACAAAGGCTCCAAATACTTTCCCCAGATCAATACCAAAGCCTTCTTCTTTTCCAAGGACACCAACTTCACTTGCTCCAATAGTGTCGAAATCTGCTGTCCAAAGTCCTGCTAATGGCATCACGGGTACATTTGGGCAGCATAATGGACATATTATCTCCAAGTCAAAGGTTAGGTGCAGAAGCCATTCTCTGGAGTCTTTGCAGCGAAGGCGTGACACATTTAGTTCTTCTACTGCTTCAACCACAAACACAACAACTACCACGTGTACCTCCTCTGAGTCTGCTTCTTCATCCTATAGCTGGGATGGGGCAAGAGATCACTGGGCTAAAACATCAAGCCCTCGTGCCCGCACTTTAGCTACATTTAACTCCCTGATGGGTCGCAGTTTGAGCTTGGGAGACCTTAGCCATTCTCCACAGACTACGCAAAAAGTGGAGCGCATTGTGAAAGAGGTGAGGCGCAGAGGACTTAAAGCTGTTCCTGAACGTGACCGAAAGATTGCTGCGTTAATGCTAGCTAGGTACCAAGAGGAGGATATAATGAGCCAGACACGCTATGTAGCACACCTGCAATGGGATAGTGAGCGGCGAGTAGAGGAGCTGAGAAGGGAACGTGAAGATCGTGAGAAGCAGAGGGCCGTGCAGCAGTGCCAACGTGCATGGCAATCACAAGTTTCAACCAGACAGCGCTGGCTTAATCAGCAGGAGCGTGAGGCTGCTGATGCGAAACTTCGCCAAGCTGTGGAAAATGAGGAGCGTTGGAAGGAGTTGGCTGAGCAACAAGAACGCAGCCGCTTGCAGAAACTGCAACAGGCTGCCCGCGAGGAGAAACACAAGAAGGCATTACAAGAACAGAACCTTAAAGCTCTGGAAGAGGAGCGAGCTGCCATTCTTGAGCAAGAGAAACTGCTCCTCAAGGAGAAGCTGACAATTGCTGAGCTGAAGCGACAGGAGCGAGAGCACCAGATTCAAGAGGAGCGTCGTGGACTCAACCGTGCTGAGAAGAGACGGCATGCCGCTCTCATCCAAGAAATTGCGCGCCGTGAAACAGACGAGCGTGAAGAAGCACGGAGAACAGCGGATGAGAAGCTAAGCAGGTCTTTGGAGAACTATGAGCAGATACAAGAAAAACGAGCGCAAGAGCTGAAGGAGAAAGCTAAACGAGAAGGAAAGCTGATCCAGAAAGCGAGACGCAGTGCCGAAATACGTGAGCAACAGCAGAAAGAACAGATGGAGGCAAAAGCTAGGGAAGCTGAAAGACGAGCACAACAAGCCGCTCAAGTAGCTGAAGAACGGGCTCGGGAGAAGGCCCAACGTGCGGTGCAAAGCAGGCAGGAAAAAGAGCGACTTCAAAGGCTTAACCGCCAACGGGTGGAAGAGGAAGAGAAAATGCGCCGCTTAGAATTGTTGCAGTCCATCGAGCGGAAACTGGAAAAAAGTGAACAGATTTTCAGAGAAAAGCGTGCAGTGTTGGAAAGTGCCCGATCAGTGGCACGTGCGTCTTTCCACGTGCGGGATCGTGTTCGCGAAGAGACGAACATGCGCACCTTTGACAAGATGGCCCTGGAGGCTCAGCTACAAGCAAATTTAGTTGAAAAGTGAGCATTTCAACTGTGAAGCTTATTTGCTTTTTCCATGCACCTCTGTGTAGAAATAAGCTGTGCTTGAGCCTACATGCTAGCCCCACCACCAAATTACAGCAACACTTTTGATGGTCATGCCATCTAAAGATTCATTAACTCCTGATGCTGGATCATTTTCATCATGCCACCTGAAGAAATATTTTTCTGTATTTATATGTTTTAAATGTTAACCTAAGAACTGTGTGCTTATGTGTGGATGATCATATTGATGTCTGGGCATGCTTGCTTTTTGAAAACTGGCAGCCATGCTGCTTTGAGAACCGTATATAAAGAGTTCATTGTTTACAAGGACGTTTGGCACTATTGCAACGGTGATGACTGCTTTCTAAGGGTGGCTTTATTTCTTAGAACAAGAAAGAGAAAAGAGGAGGGGAGGCCTCTCCCGGAGTAAATCTTTTTAGGGAGATTCTTGTTTTTGGAATATAGGCCACAGGACCAACTCTAATGAAATGCTGACCCAGCATTACATCATAGAGTCAGGACATGACAAAGAATGATCTCAGCACAGTGTAACTGCTGATGAAGCACAAGAGTCTTTGGTCAGCAACAGACCCAGCAGGGCTCAAATCCATACTGACATCCCCTGCATTCCTCCAGGTGTGTTAATTTCCCTTTTTACCTATCCTTTTTGTTTTCCCCTCATGAACTTCATTTATGGTATTCCACTTCTTAACTGTGTATGGCATGTTCAGAATGGATTACCAGCTTGCTATTTACGTTTGCTGTATACTGCCACTGTTTGAAAATGAAACAGTAGGCATCATGAACAGAATACTGCACAATCGTCTTGGCATTATTAAAAAATAAACCCCATGTGGTCATTATGCAGAAATAATTGATCACAGAACTCTTAGAAATGTATTATGCCTCAGGCATACATGGTAAATCTTGCAAAAATAAAGATGATTTACAGTATTAACACTCTTAAATATCTGCATTTAAAGTTTTATCTGAGATATATATATATATATATATATATATATATATATATATATATATATATATATGCGTGTATGTATATATATATATATATATATATATATATATATATATATATATATATATATATATATATATATATATATATATATATATATATATATATATATATATATATATATATATATATATATATATATATATATATATATATATATATATATATATATATATATATATATATATATATATATATATATATATATATATATATATATATATATATATATATATATATATATATATATATATATATATATATATATATATATATATATATATATATATATATATATATATATATATATATATATATATATATATATATAAATATATATATATATATATATATATATATATATATATATATATATATATATATATATATATATATATATATATATATATATATATATATATATATATATATATATATATATATATATATATA